TTTTTGGTACCAGGGATTGAACTTGGGTCCTTGTGCTTGTGAGGCGGGTGCCAGAACCACTAAACTAAATCCCCAGCACTCAAGGTAGCTTATTAAAAAGCACAAATAATGCAACAGGAAAGAAAGAAAAGGAAGAAGCAAAGGAGGTGAGAGGAAAAGGGAGAAGGAAATATAAAAGGGCTGAGAATGAGAGTCATATCTAAGTGCATGATGATGTTTCATATAATTGCAAAAAGAAGTCAAAAATTTTCATGACCTTATATAAAAATGGTAAGCCTAGTTCTTATAGGACAAATCCTAAGTATAAATGAAGCGGAAAATTCTAAGTGATGATGAGAATTCTCCTTTACAACAGAGACAATGGAAAAGGCCAGTGGAAAAAAATTCAAAGAGCAATCATTCTCTGCTGGGGAAAGGGTTAGACTTGGCATGTGCTCATGGTCTGTGTTAGTACCATTAATCTTATACACTAGATATAACAGAAGGATGAAAATGTGTTTACAAGGTTAGGGATGGCCCAAATAAGGACACACAGAAGGACAAAAGTCCTGTGATGGCTAAGGAAGACATTAGCCACATTTGACTCTAAAATTTTTAACTTCAGTTCTCAGTCACAGTGGCTGCATTTCAATGGTTCAATCACTACACTGGGTATTGGTTATTGCAGATTTATAGAATATTTCTATCACTATATAAAATTCCACTGGAAAATGCTGTTTTAGGCAAATAGGGCCCTACTAGGAAACAGAATGTGTCTCTTGGTGAATCCAAATTAGTCTTTTCTTTACTTCTCTCTGGATGGAAACCAGAAAGCAAGAATTTAGTTCCACGAACTACCAAAGTACTTTATTTATGTTCAGCATCAGGATAAATGTAGAAGGCTCACTTGCTCATAGCTTCTACACCAGCTTTGGAAGAAGAACTTGGTACAACAAAACCAGATCCTGTCTCAGCATAGATTGTTGTAATGGCAAGAAATGCTGCTCCTGAAATTTTAAAGGACAAGGGTTACTAACAATATAGCTATTTCAATGAATATCAGGAAAACATGATATACAAAATTAAGATTCGATTCAAAAGGGTATAACAAAAGCTGAAGCATTAAAAAATAAAATATTGGGCTGGAATTTAGCTCAGTGGTCCTGCTGCCTGCTTCCCAAGTGCAAGGTCCCAAGTCCCAAGTTCAAACCCTAGTACCGAAAAAAAAAAAAAACCCAAAAACTAAAATATTTACTAGCCATGTATAAATGAGATAGTAATCTAAGAATACTGTTTTGACTTACTACTAATTTTGATGGCATTAGGTAGCCCAGTCTGCACTTACTTGGGATATTCTACACCCAATGAGTAAATACTAATGCAAAATCTCAGAGGCATATTCTTGTTTGGCTGGGGGAGTTGGTACTGGTGATGGAACTCAGGTCCTCGTGCTTGCAAGGCAGGTGGTGGAACCTCTGAGTTAAATCCCCAGCCCACAGAGGTATATTCTTGTAACACTGTTCTAATAACCAGCTGGATAGAATTCCCATTAACTAAGTACCAATTAAGAATACATCAGAATAAAATAAAATTATGAAAGGCTAGCCATGGTGGACTTGCCCTACTCTTTTATCTGTTTTATTAGACAAATGATACAATTATTTTCAGATACTATACAGCAGCCAGAAAAGGACAGGGATCTTTTGGAGAAGGGAAATGAACTAAATGAGCCCTTGCTTCACTTTTTTTTTTCCTTTATCTAAACATACTACATAGCATAACAGGAATCCAAGCAGAGAATTGCACTGAGTTGAGGAGATAGACAGTCGAGTCTGTAAAGGCTTAGAAACTGAGCTTTCTGAGGTAAGAGTCCACCAAAGGAGAAAAGTATGCTGAGACAAGCTCCATGGATCTTCAGAGTCTCCTTGAGTCTGGCCAAATGACAAGCCATCCATAAACTTCTCCAGAGATGTAACTTGAAGGATTCATATACAGTGCATTCTAAGAAACTTCGCTGAATACACAGGGCTTTCTGTAGAGAGCTTGGAAAACACATGCCTTAAGAAAAGAGATAAATTAGCCCAATATCAGGCTCTATGTTCACCTAAATAAATCTTCAAAATGAGAATTGAAATGATGTAAGAAATAAAAATCAACACATCTCAAAAGAAAACTTAAAACTCATGCACCTAGGGCCAGAGATTTAGCTCAGTGGTTCGGTGGCCTGTCTTGCAAGTGCAAAGACCAGAGTTCAATCACTGGTACCAAAAAAAAAAAAAAAAACACTCATGCACCTACAATAACATCTACTTCCTGCATATAATTAAAATTATGCACATAAAAAGACTTAGAAATATAACTAGGAGAAAAATTAATATAAAGAATCTCAGAAGTGACAGAGATGATAAAATTAACAAAGGCCTTTAGAATATTATATGTGAAGAGTTCAAAGAAAAGATAAATATAAGAAAATATACAATTTTAGGCAGAATTGTTAAAGTAGAAACATGAATTATCTGAAAATTTTAAAAGAAAATGAATAAGCCTAACTGCAGAAGAAAAGATCTAATAACCTGAACACAGCAATATAAACTATGTTAAATGAAGGACAGAGGGGGAAGAAGCTGAGGGGATAAAAAGACCAAAGCCTCGAGGACCTATGGAATAATGTTTAGCTCTTTAACATACACACACACACACACACACACACACACACATAAACACTGTGTGTGTGTGTGTGTGTGTGTGTGTATAGTTCTATAAGAAAAAAAGAGTACCTTAGAAATAAAGATTGAAAAAAACTCCAACCTTGGTTAAAAAAACAAACAAACCAATAGGTAATTCTAGAGAGCTAAACAAATCCCTAGCAAGATTATGAGAGAGGGTAATAAGTAATTTAATCAATTATTTCCAACCAGGGATAAAGAAAAATTGTTAACATCTATGAAATGCTGAAATAAAAAAGTTGTATAAATTATTTATTCAGCAAAAATATCCTTCCGAAATGAGGGTGACAGTGGAAGAGGAAGTAAAAATGATTGAGATGCGATATGTACATGGATATGTACCAATTCCCCAAGGTGAATGTAATTATTGTGTGTCTCAAAAATGTACTAGTAAAACAAGAGTTTAGAAAAAAACAAGGTTCACTCGTGTGAGTACTGAGAGAAAGCACTGCCACTAGACATTTTAAAGGATGTTCTTTAGGCTCAATAAAAATGATACTAGATAGAAACACAGATCATGAAAAGGAATGCTCAGTATCAAAAATGATAAGGGCTGGGGATTTAGCTCAGTGGTGCCACCTGCCTAGCAAGGGCAAGGTCCTGAGTTCAATCTCTGATACTGCACCCCTAAAAAAGAAATGACAAATTTGTGTGTAAATGGAAAAAATATTCTTGTGTTTAAATTTTTTTTTTTTTTTTGGTACTGGGGATCGAGCTCTGGGCCTTGCACTTGCAAGGCAGGCACCAGAACCATCGAGCTAAATCCCTGGCCCTAAATTTCTTTTGAAACAAAAATCTCTGCACAAAGGTATTCTACCAAGTGACACTATATATGCAGAAATCATCAGTGCCTGGGCATAGTAAAGATTTTCAAATTAACTGAATGAATCAGAGGTTAGAAGTGTGACCTATAGCTCCGGAGAAATCAGTGATTTTCTATTTCTTATCCAGACATACAACCAGATAAGAAAATGTTTATATTTGCAGAAGAATTAAAATACACTTACATGTTTTCCAAAACATGCTTTAAGAATGTAAAGACTACAAAAAATATATTTGAAGAACATCCAGATAAGTTTTTCTTCTCTCCATGAATTTAGTTTCACTTTCCCTCAGCATTTTTCAGAATAGAAACAAAACCCAGTACACCCTGGAGAACATGGGGGTGGAGGAGGGGGCAGGAATGCCATTTTAAGACTATGAGAAATAAGAATGGTTACCTTAGTCATTCTGGCATCACCTTTTATATATCAAACTCAGCCTTTCAGATCTTTGAAAACTAATTTGCTTCTAGAATCTTATTCTGAAAAAGGAGGGACATGGAACAAGTGTGGGCTCCATTGTAGCATCAGGTGCTAACTGCATATTCTGACAGCAAAAGTATGAAACTACTCAAAAAGTGACAATGATTTATACACAGCAAATGCTCCAACAGAAAGTCAACTGTCTTCCAAGTAGGATTAAACTGGTATATTTTTCAAACCGTAAGACATCGTGCAGAATGAAAGAAAATATTTGCAAACTATTCATCCAAGCAGGATTAAAATTCAGGATATACAAGGAACTCAAAACACTCAAAGCAAAAACACATATAATCCAGTTTTTAAAATGGGCAAATGATCTAAGTAAGCATTTCTCAAAACAGAATATAAAATAGCCAACAAAGCACATGAAAAAATGCTTAATATTACTAATTAGGAGGAAAACACAAATCAAAACTATAATGAGATAGGTCCAAGAATTTAGCTCAGTGGTGCTAAATCAGTGATTTTACCGCCTGCCTTGCAAGCACAAGGACCCGAGTTTGATCCCCAGTACCCCCCGAAAAAAAACTACAATGAGATAACATTTCACCCCAATCAGAATGGCTGATTTTTTTAAAAGATAAAAAATTATAAATGCTGGCAAGGATGTAGACAAAGGAGAACTCATAATATTCCTAGTGGGAATGTTAATTAGTAGAGCTACTATGGAAAACAGTATGTTGTTTCCTCAAAAAACTACTACACATGATCTAGCAGTTCCATACTGGTATATATACTAAGAAATGAAATCAATTTATCACAGAGATAGCTGCACTCTCATATTCACTGCAGCACTATTCACAATAGCCAAGATAAAAAAGCAACAAAAGTCTTCTTCCAATGGACAAATGGATATATATGTTAGCCATAAAATGAGTGGAAAAGCCTATTATTTGTAGCAAAACGGATAGACCCGAAGGACATTGGATTAAATTAAATAAACCAGGGAAAGAAGACAAATATCACAGTTTTCACTGATGTACAAGCTAAATGAGCAGCTCTCATAGAACAAAGAAATAAAGTGGTGGTCATTAGAGGAGGATAGGAAGACTGGGGGGGTAATGAGAGGCTGAATAATAAATACCAAAATATAATTAGGTAGAAGGAATAAATCTAGCGTTCTATAGCACAGTGGGGTACAATTCACAAGTTTATTATATATTTTTAAATAACAGGAAAAGTTTGACATTTCCCAACAAAAGAAATGTTAATCACCTTGATTTGATCATCACATGTGGTATAACAGTATTGACTTATCTTACTGAACTCCATAAATATGTAAAATTATTAAACACATTCTTATGTATATTATTTTTAAAACAAGAGCCTACAGGGCTTAGACTCAAACAAGCTTCCTTAGGCAGAAAACCCCTCACAGTGAGTTTCTGGAGGAATAAGCTGTGCCCATATGGCTCCAATGGGAGCTATTTTAACAAATATTGATGAAATTTTCCATCAACAGAGTAAAGTAACTCTTGCCAAAAAAAAAAGTCACTTTAAAAGGATACTAATGCTGCTATAATAAATTTCAGCTGATTACCAAAAATTAAATTTTAAATATTCTTTAAATGCACCCATTGTTGTAATAAAGCCCTGGACTCATTACAAAGAAATGTGTGCATGTGGTTCTTATACACTTTAAAATCCAAACAGCAAATACCCTGCACTAAGATAACTAATAAATAAACAAAGCTTATTTTTCTGCTCTACTCTTTCTGCTTCTGAAACTAGGTACATTTACCTGCATTGCACTAGATCACGTCAAGTGACCAGTCCTCTTCTTTTCCCTCTAACAGCAAAGGTGAAGGACATAGTTGAAAGAAGTATTAAATACGCCTTCGACTCATGTCTGTGTGGGTCTCTACAAGGAGTCACTTACTGCACAAAGCACCATCCTTGTGACTCGTACTGAATTAGGAAATGACAGGGAGAAAAGAAAGGAATGGAAAAGATGAAGCAGACGGAAAGGATCTGATG